GTTCATTTGTGCAATAATGGCCTCGTCAAATACCGGAGTATGATAGAAGAGTATTTGGAGGGCAGGGGATTTTAAAAAGCGTTTTCCTGTCACTGGAGACCAGAACTTCTGTTTTTAAAAAAAATCTAATGAGGGCGGTAATTTGCAGTACTTAGTTCTTGGTTCCTTCTGCCAAGTAATTACAGCGATGGGTGTGTCCAGGAGGCAAGGTGACATCTTAAACAAGAGTTGGAACTCCTTGCCAACTGAAACCTTCAGCCTTAATGGGTGTGGGGAAAGGACTTCATCTTGGTTAAAACTAGTGCTCATTTAAGTTTGATGCACTCGTTCCATACTGATATTTTTAAGTTATTATGAGTTTGTATATGCTGGTTGAACTTACTACTGTTTTATGTGAAAGTACATTATGGGCATGTAATTGAAGTTCTTAATTATGAGGTAAATTTTAAAATGTTTTTAAATGAAGGGTAAGATTGGTTTTTGTTTTTTTTTCCACACTGGAATAGGTTTTTTTCCTTGGTGATGGGTAGAGCTTATCTATGCGTTCTTTTGCCCGTGATAAACTTTTAAGTTACTGTTTGCATCGTTGATGCTTTGGGGGTTTTTTGTTTGTTAAATTGACAGTCATTAATTATTTAATTTGGAAATTGTCCTCTTTAACTTTATTAAGACTTGGAGATTTAAAGTTAGAACTCTGACAAGTTAAAAGAAAAAAAGTTATATAAACTGGAATACGATTGCTCACTTAGCTCTTAGGTTTACATATAGTCGATATATGCTCTTTGAAGGGGGGAGTGCTTTAAGAAGACTTAAGGGCTGGGGTGGTTAAATAAAAAGATGCGAAAAGGTAGAAAATGTTGTCATTTGTCTAAATAAATAATCATTATTCCATCAAACTGCAAGGAGATCTATTTCTGTTAGACTGAGGAAATTCACTATGGCTCTATTAAAATGCAGGAAATTCTAGATTCAGCTAGAATGATCAAATTAGGCCCTTGGTAAAGGTCCTAATTTTTATAAAGTAATTTGATGGGTTCTTTTTTTTAATCCAAGATGCTATATATAGTAAGTACTGTTCTACCGTATTACTGATAAAATTATTGAGCTAATTTAGAGACTGCTTTTTATATAGGTAAACAATTCTGAAGTTGTAGGAAAATTTTAATTATGAAGCTTATATCTAAGTAGGACTTGGAAGAAACAGGAATGAATGAAGGATAGAAGTTTGTGTGCCATTTCAAGCCTATGGATTCATCCATTTACTTAGATAAGAATTTTGGATCTTTTGTATAAAACCTTTCGCTAGGTGAGCTCCAAGAGTACCCATACCTACTTTTGAGAGCCATTTAGGAAATATTTAATAGGTACATAATGCATTCACTTCAGGTCACACCTAGTCTAGATTAGTGTTTCTCAATAGGTGAATAAATCACCTGTGGTTTTGAACCTGAGAGTGAGTATGCTAATGCCTGGAAGCTTTCTCTGGCATGACAAGAGCAGTAGGAAGAAGTGTAGAAATAGAGTAAGAACTAGTCAGCCCTCTAATGAATTATCCTTTACTGAGATAAATACACATTTTATTGAGCTTGAGTTTTCCCAAAAGTATAATTCTTGTAGTTCTTCTAAGTAAGAAGATGTCACTCTCCATAGACAGAAATAAGAAACAAATTGATTCGGTGTAGTTGGGAAAGGCTTACAAATTAGAATGCTAGGAAGTGTTGTGTTTCTGCTTTTAGTAGGTTTTAATCTGAATTGTTTAATATAAAGATTTGTTTGATATAAAGATTACTTTAAAATCTTGAACTCTGGGTTAGTAGTAAATATGAAAAATGTCTCTAAGTTTCTCGAAACACTCCAAACAAAAATCACACAGTGCTTTTAGGTTATGTGAGTAACTTAGGCTCCCATGTACTTAGTTTATTCCTTGAAGCTTATTTTTGATCTTTTCTAAGATTACCTTTGCCTAGATAGAGGTAGGGAGCTGGACAAGATGATGTGGGACCATTAAATTTGGACTTCCAAAGAAAATTGAAAAATTTCTGTTTTCTTTTATAGCTAACATCTTTGTTTCTTCTTGAGCCCTTAAGCTTTCTTATAAACGAGCTTCCCCAAAATCTTCCCCCAACCATGTTTTCAGAACAAACCCAGTGTCTACCATTCTGCACATAGCCCATCAATCCATCAGCTTCCATACATGCTACATTGCCTTCCACATCTGTCCCTGGACTTCAACTGGTGGTTTCAGTTTGTGGAAATAGATTTTCTCAGCTTAAAGTTTAACATGAAACTTGGTAGGTTTGTTGTAAAGGTCTTGATAATACTGTGCATGCATGTTTACCTTCTGTGTGGAAGTTGAACTAGTTAGGTTAACACTGTAGGTTCTTTGATTTATTTATGTAAAATAATTATCACTAAACTCTCTTGGCCAGCCTTTGACATAGCTTCTAATTTACTCTACACAATAACCCTGTTAGGTAGGCATTACTGTGTTAACAGGTGAAGTTGATTTAGAGGTTGAATAACGTGTCCAAGGTGTCACAGCTATTAAGTTGCAAAGCTGGGATACTAGCCCCATGATGACTCAAAGCACTATGCTTTTTCCTGTACCATACCATATTGCCCTACCTTCAGAAATTATAGAAATCTTGCAAAATGAAATCAGACTAGAAGTAAATCCTCGTAGGGGTGGGAAACCTTTTTTCTGCTAAAGGTCATTTGGATACTTACGACATTATTCGTGGGCCATATAAAATTATCAACTTAAAAATTAACCTGCTATATTTGGTTAAACATTTAATTAACTCACCCCTAATGCCTTGGCATGGCCATACCAAATGATTTCTCGGGCCTGACATTCCCCATCCCTGTAGCCTTCAACAAAGGAAACAACTCAGTGGATTTACTGGGTTTTAAATCTTTTTCCTAGGGAAAACAATCTGGCTGATTTTATACCAGATTGCTGGAGATAATTTATTTTATACATTTTTGCATTTGAACTTAATTATTTGCTCTTCAATTTTAATTATCAGGCCTTTGGCTTTTTTTCCTTTTTAATTTTTAAGAATGGAAATGAGTTGATTGCATTGAGATCAAAGCAAGCAGGGAAAGAAACATCTGCTTTGTTTCTCAAATATTCTCATGCTGTCCCCTAGAGAAAATGTGATACTATTCTACATTAAGGTGTTACCCTTTCTGGGGATCTTTTTACTTAAAAAGAATGAAACCAGGCATTGCTTTTATTTTCATACCAAAAACGAATGGATTAATCATAGTATGTTTGACTTCATGTAGGTATACATACTAGATAGGACGCTATTTCTTGTCAATGCCTCCCAGAACCACATAAACAGTTGTTTCATGGGTATGTATACTGATAAGCAGAGAAATGTCTAAAGATGAAGGACACATGAAGAACAAAGCCTTGATATTTTGCAGATATCCTTATATATTATGTTCTTTGAATTTTAAACTTAGAGGCATTGGATAGTCTAACACCTTAATGTTTAATCCTCACTCTACTAGCTAACCAATACTGTATTCCCACTCCCGGAAATAGAATCTGAGTCCTTCTTTCCCCTTTTGTAAGATAGGGAATAAGAACACCATTGTTTGGTTACTATGAAGACTGAATAAGAACAACATATAAAATGGTTTTTGCAAATGCCTGAAAATAGGTTTGTTGTTTGTTTTTTAAAAAAGCAAGAACCAGTAACTTTCCCCATGTGCTAAAGACATCACAAACCTTAGGCTCACTTTGGGATTTCAAAAGTCAAGAGAAGATGAGAGGCTGGACTTACTTAACATTTGGTAAATAATGTAATTCAAGTGTTCAGAATCCTGCATTCTCTGCAGTTGCCTGGCAGGTGAAGAGGAGTAAAAACTGGTAGCTTTCATGTTGCCCCATCCAAGACTGTAGATTTTAATCTTTTTAATAATGGGAGTTTTGCTTCATTTTGAGATTTGGAAAAATACTTTTATGTCCAATTGATGTGTTTTAGCCATTTATGGGGGCAATTTTGACCATAGTCCGTGGGCATTATTTTTGGTTCAATGGAGATTTCTGGTAATAATTTGATATCTACCAGAGGAGGTGAGCTTAAGTTGAGGTATGCTAATTTTGAAAAAGGAAACAATGATTCTATTGGATTCTCTCTTTAATTTAGAAAAACTTCAATTAAACTTTTTAGTATTCCAGATATTTTTGTGTGTGGTTTTTTTTCCAATTTGTGTAAAATTTACTTTCAAACATATTCTGAAATACTTTCCTTATCTTAAATTTGGGGTCAAGACTGTTTAACTTTGAATGTAAACCAGATGTATGCATTTTCCACCTACCCTGTGTGCTTATTGCTGGTACTAAGAAATGTTGAACTAAATGAAGTTTATGAAACATGCCAAGCCTTAAAAACTTTTAAAACTTGTTTTTGTAATTGCTAACCTACATAGTCTCAAGTCACTTATCTCTTGATCTCTTTGTAGGCTGACCAACTGACTGAAGAGCAGATTGCAGGTGAGAAATAATTTGCCTAATTGTACCTGTTGGATTTTATTATAAACTGAATAGCTAATCCAAAATGAGATACTTGTATGAAAAAATTGACTTTGATCTATATAGTACATAGCAAATGGCTGTAATGTAATACAGTAATTGAACCTGCTTTGGCAAGTGAAAAGGTAAACTTGCCTGAGAAAGATGTGTGGGGCTAACTGTAATTAAAGACATGTTTTTAGGCTGTTTTTAGCCATGTTTGGAGCCAGGTGGTGGTCTTTTGTTATTGTTGGTTATCTTACTTTAAAACATGAATTCTAAGCAGTTTTTAATACTGTAGCTCCAAATCAGTCTCTACAAGAGGGCCACGTCATGTAACCAATAGGTAATTTGAAATGTAGAATCAGAAGATGAACATTGAATTTACGCCATTGTAAAATAGCTAATATTTTAACCTTAGAATTGCATGTATAGTCAGGGAATAACCCATTTTTCCAATGAAAAACCTAGATCTAAAGGTTAGCATTCTCTTTTACACATGTAATTATGTCTTATAAAGTAGTGACAGCTATTTAAATGAGCTTAAATCTTGTCTCCTTTGGTTTGCTATGGAAATACATGAAATTGTTACAGAAAACTTGATGTCATGTTGTCTTTATGACATACATTAAACATTAGTATTTTTTATTTTATTCTAATATGTGAGATGTCTGATTAACATTAAAATGTTTTGGAAACTTACTAAAGTTTTGCTTTTTTTATGCAATATTGAAATGTCTTTCAAATTCTATTCTTTCACTTCACATTAGAGGCTTTTGTTAACACAAGCATCAAGCAGTTTTAACTGCTATAATTTTCCTGGTAGGCAAGGAGTTTGAAGTGCTCAGAAAAACTGAAGCATTTTTTTAAAAACATTTTATTAATTTTTTTACAGAGAGGAAGGGAGAGGGATAGAGAATTAGAGACATTGATGGGAGAGAAACATTGATCAGCTGCCTTCTGCACACCTCCTACTGGGGATGTGCCCACAACCAAGGTATATGCCCTTGACTGGAATCCAACCTGGGACCTTTCAGTTCCCAGGCCGACGCTCTATCCACTGGGCCAAACCTTAGGGTCTGAAGCATTTTTTAAAAATATTTTTATTGATTTCAGAGAGGAAGGCAGAGGGAGAAAGAGATAGAAACATCAATAATGAGAGAGAATCATTGATTGACTGCCTCCTGCACGCCCCCATTGGGGATCAAGCCTGAAATCCCAAAATCCAGGCATGTCCTGACTGGGAATCGAGCCATCTTGGTTCATAGGTCGATGCTCAACCACTGAGCCACCCTGGTTGGGCTGAAGCAATTTTTAATGCTAGAGAAAACTGAGAAACACAGAACTCAACTATATAGCCCATTTAAAGTAAATAAATAAATAAAACCACCCTTATAAACACAAATTTAAAGGAGGCAGGCATCACTAATCTGATATTTATCATGAATATTATTTGATAGGATTATATAAGGTAGAAAGCTATTAGCATTAAGGACAAAATTTATGCAGGTTTTATGTTTAATTGCTGTGTGGATTTGATTTAAACCTGGGATTTGCTTTCTAGGGTTGGTAAATTGCATGTTGGTTTATATTATTTTTAAATGTAACAATGAAATCTAAAATTATCTGAAATAGTTTTTGATATATCCTTCAGGAACTGACCTCTGCACTATCTAATATTTCCATTCTTAAACTCTTACATTCTCTGATATATCTGGCCTCCCTCTCTGTCCAGTTAGGTAGTTGTGCCTATTGTACACAGCACAAAATGTTCACTTTAAGGTAGAAAATGTGTTAGTCAAAGTGCCTGTCACAGAGTTGGTGTTCATTATTGCCTTCCCAAACACATTCATTATTGCCTTCCCAAACACACGCGCCTCTTTAAAGAAAGATTGTATCTGTGAGATATAAGAACCTTCAATGACTGTTATAACATTTTTATCAAGAATAGTTGTAGTTCATTGGAATATTGTCTTTAAGACAAATTCTGTCATTTCATTGACTTCCATCCTACAATTAAATTTCAAATGGGAATGGAGGAAAATATATTGTAGATTCTCTCCCTACCCTGCCTTTTCCTCGACTTTTAAAGGTGTTCCTTAGACCCCAGGCTTTAATAAACCTCTGAACATTTAGGTTAGAGGAGCCAAAGCTTTTATGCTGCTAATAAAAATCCTGTGAGAGCAGTGACCTTTTTGTTTTCTCTATTCCCAGTGATTCCCATAGTAAGGACTGAGTAAATACTTCTTGAAGGAATTTTATTTTCAAAGAGGACTGTGACACAAAAAGTGTTCTTAGAACACTACCTTACCCTATCCTAAGAATTATTCTGTTTCTTCCAAAAATCCCTTCCTAAATTTGGTATGTTTCAATGTCCACCTTTGAGGTAAACACAGATTTTGTCTTTATCTGGTAAATTATAATCACTAGTGACCAGTAACATCCTAGCATCTAAGACCTGCTTGTTGAATGTTAAGCTTCATACATGTAATACAGCATTGAATATACTAAAGTACTTTTAAAAGCTATTTTTATCTTTATGTGACCATCATTACTACTTCAGATTTATTTAGAGATTTTAATAGCAAATAACTTGGTATAGAAAAAAAGTGTGCTTGTTGTTTAGGTGGTTACTAGTCTTGTTTACATTACTTAGTCTTAAAGAGCAATCTGGAACAATCTTAGTGTGATTTCACAAGTTAATTTAATTTGACTCTGCCATGAAGTCATTAGTAGTTGACATTTAGAGGACTAATAAAAAAATGTAACAAGAATTTTTCTTTTTAAAATTTGTGCCTAAACTGTCATTGAGCTTTCAGTCAAGGTCCAGTGTAGGGATAAAACTTGGTTGATAAATATATTAACTGTTCTCAGTTTATAACAATTACAGAGTGCCAACAAGGGATTAAACTAAATACATAAAAGTGAGTAGGCATTTGATTTTTCTTTAGTTGTAATTGTTTATTGATAACCTATTTTTAAAAAATTATAGACTTATGTGATATAAATAACTGGAAAAGGGTCCTGGGGTTGCTGATGAACACATAAAACTTAAATAATAAGTTTCCTGAAAATTTCAACTTAGGCATAACTAGAATGGATTTAGAGGAAGGTCCTATCAATTGTGTTGAAGATAGCTGTTGTGTGTGACATTCAGGACCTCTTGTTTTCTTATTGTGTACTTAGTTCTGGGTTTATATTTGAAGTCATTCCTGACAATTACTGTTTGGAATGACATGCTTCTGTACATGAAGATTATGCTAGTTCTGAAGTACAGGTGGTGAGCTATACAGGCAGGTGAATTTAAATGGTGCTTTTGAGTTTATTATTTCAAGGAATTTTTACAGGTATTTCTGGCTCTTTAAGAGTTATTAGATTTTAAGACTTATTGAAACTTAGAATACACACATAAATTAATACTATGCATATTCCAGAATTTGGCTTTAAGTTAAATCATATCCTATATAATAAAACCCTAATATGCAAATCAACCGAATGGTGGAAAGACGGTCACTCTGATGCACACTGACCACCAGGGGGCAGATGCTCAACGCAGGAGCTGTCCCCTGGTGGTCAGTGTGCTCCCACAGGGGGGGCGCCACTCAGCTAGAAGCTGGGCTCTCGACTAGGGAGTGCAGTGGCAGTGGCGGGAGCCTCTCCAACCTCCACAACAGCGCTAAGGACCTCTCGGGGGATGTCCGACTGCCCGCTTAGGCCCGCTCCCCTGAGGGGTCCTGGACTGTGAGAGGGCCCAGGCTGGGCTGAGGGCCGCCTCCATTTGTGCACTGGGCCTCTAATAGTAAAGTAATTATAGATACACATTGCGAATTTCGCATATAATGGTGGTGTTAAATGATGCCTGTAGCTAAGTATTACAGCAGAGAATGTAGTATAAACAAATTACAATTCTCCAACTCCTCTCATTTTCTTGTAGCCTAAGTTATTAGGTGATAGGTGCTATGTGTTCAAACCCTAATAATGGTTTGCATATTTCTAGTCATTATTTCTACATCCTGTTTTTTTTTTAAAAACATAAATGTTTTCATTAAATTCTTCTATTTGTGGGGTTTATTGATCTATTTTTGTCATTGGATTGATCTATATTAGTACTATATACTATTTTCATAACATCGAGTACTTTGGTACTAAGCATTGGTATCAGATGATTTCCTCTAAAAACAAGTATGATTTAAATGAATGAAACTCTGTTACAATGCAGCAAACCACAACTAATCAGCGATATCTGATTTAAACTAAGCAATTCAAAGATTTTAAGTAGAATAAGCAGAAACAAGTAACATGGTAATCAAAAAAGGCAAATAGGCCCTGGCCATTGGTTCGAGTGTCGGCTCAAGGACCAAAGGATCTCGGGTTCTATTCCTAGTCAAGGGTACATACCTGGGTTGCAGGTATAAAGAACCCAGGTAGGAGGCTATCATGATTGTCCAGGCAAAAGTTGATGGTGCCATTATTGGTTGTAGTGATGAAAAAATATCCAGTAGTATTTAAACAGCAGAGTTCAACAGGACTTGTTGACAGATTTTAGGGTAAGAGTTTTCTTGCTTTAGGTCAGCCAGAGGAGATGTCTGTCCTGTAGGAAGTCAGAAATAAAGGATATTATGTTGAGAGAGATGTGTATACTAAGACATGAAATCATCATTATAAGTGGGCATAGATGAAATGGACAAGGAGAGAAGAAAGGATGAGAGTTGGTCACATCTACTTGGAAGAAACAAGTAGGAGCCAAAAACCTTTGGCATTGTAAGATAGGATATAAATCAAAGTACTATTGTGGAGGCCAAGAGAAGTTTGAGGGTTTTTTTTTTAGTATAATTTTGGATACTGCAGGAAAATGAGATCATCATTCTCTTAACATTCATTAAGTACTTACTTGCCAGACCTAGTTTTGAGTGCTTTACATGTAGTGACTATGTTCTTAAAATAAGGAATTAGGTATGTTATCCCTATTTAACAAAAATGAGCAAGCTGAGGCAGAAAAAAAGGTCTAGTAACTTAATTTGCTGGAGGTTACATTTCTAATAAGTAACAGCTGGGATTTTTTTTTCAATTTTTAAAATATATTCTATTGATTTTTTACAGAGAGGAAGGGAGAGAGATAGAGAACTAGAAACATCGATGAGAGAGAAACATCGATCAGCCGCCTCCTGCACACCCCCTACTGGGGATGTGCCTGCAACCAAGGTACATGCCCTTGACCAGAATTGAATCTGGGACCCTTGAGTCCGCAGGCTGACGCTCTGTCCACTGAGCCAAACTGGTCAGGGTGCAGCTGGGATTTTTAAGCCAGCAGTTGAGTTTCAAAGTCTGATTTGAGTTTCTATGCTTTATGGCCTCACATACTGACACATACTTGCTGGATTAGGCACTTAGATCGTTCTTGGTGAACCTAGTATTTTCAGCGGATGAGCTGGAGCTGGAAGCAATTTTAATACTTGGTTGATAGAGAAGAAATAGATATGAGTAGTGGTGCCTTCCAGAATTTGGGGAGAGATAAGGATAAGGACTTTAAAGGAAAAAAAAATTTATGTATATATATATATATATATCACTAAGGTTTGAGTTTAGTTTTAGGCAAAGAGACATAAAGATAACTAAATAAATTAATGGCAAAATCAGTAGAATGGTTGAGTTCAGAGAAGAGATTATGATAAATGAAACTTTGAGGTATATGGATTGGAGCAAGGATAGATAGGGGATAAATAGACTTGGACTGTAAGACAAGGCACACCATTTCTTAAATATGTATCAGGTATATATTTTCAAATGTCTTAGATATGTTGGGAGAGCATATGGCTCTTGAACTTTGGGACTGTTTTTGTATTTGCTTGCTGATAGGGTTTATTACAGAAAGTACCTTGAAAAGTACTAGGTTTTGTTAGCTCATTTATCTGACCTCACACAGTCAGATTTAATCTCTGCTTTAGTTTCTCTGTAAAATAAATGGTAAGCCAGGTATTGTGGACTGTCGCTCCAACAGCTTCCCATGTAATCTACTGGTGAAATAAAAGTAATGCAATTTTGTAAGATCTTAATTTTAGGCAACAATATATTTCACTCTTTTACAAGTTTGGGGTTATATAATGTAAAGAAAGGTCTAAGATATCTTTGTTCTCAATAATACAGCTGAAACTGGCCATTCATATCTTGATCATCTCATTATCATCAGTACTATAGACTATTTGGTGATAGACTCTTCCAGAAAAGATAACTTAGCCCATTGGCATATTATTCTGAAGTCTAAAGTTTTTTGTTTTTAATTTAGTAGGTGATGAAGTAGACTTACTTTTTGAGGAGTATTATAAACATAATGCAAATAGTATAGTTGCTCTATAGAAATGTGTTTGGAACCAACTATCTTTATTTTTCGGTTCTGAGTAAAGGTTAAATCTGTAATTTTGAATTGTGTTCCACAGAGCAGCTTTAACAGAAAATAGAGAAGCCAGTCATTTGGGGTTTTGATTCTTTTCCTTTTAAACGCAGAATAATAATAAGGGTCTAGATCAGGGGTCCTCAAACTTTTTAAACGGGGAGCCAGTTCACTGTCCCTCAGACCGTTGGAGGGCCGGACTATAGTTGAAAAAAAAAACTATGAACAAATTCCTATGCACACTGCACATAACTTATTTTGAAGTAAAAAAACAAAATGGGAACAAGTACAATATTTGTGGTCCGCGGGCCGTAGTTTGAGGACCCCTGGTCTAGATATTGCAGTTCCTTGTAAGATTTTAGATGAAAAAAATTTCCTAGTAGATCAATAGGAGCATATACTGGTATGATTAGGTAAAGATGTTTAAAATGCTACAAGTGGCTTTCTCATCTAAATCCTTCAGAAATCAAAATTCCATTTCAGGTGTTATCTTCATATATATCTTTAAGAGTTGACTAATACATTTCATTTAGGAGGTTATTATTTGTTGTTAACCTGTACATTTGGATTGTGGTCTCTCAAACAGAATTCAAAGAAGCTTTTTCACTATTTGACAAGGATGGTGATGGAACTATAACAACAAAGGAATTGGGAACTGTAATGAGGTCTCTTGGGCAGAATCCCACAGAAGCAGAGTTACAGGACATGATAAATGAAGTGGATGCTGATGGTAAGTCTGTTTAATTTTTGTGTTTGGGGAGTGGGAAGTTGAAGTGACATTTAAATTCTATTATGTTTCAACGAAACAAACCATTTCAGGTAATGGCACAATCGACTTCCCAGAATTTCTGACAATGATGGCAAGAAAAATGAAAGACACAGACAGTGAAGAAGAAATTCGAGAAGCATTCCGTGTGTTTGATAAGGTAGGTTTTCAGGGGCTGGATTTCTTAAATTTTAACTTGAGGATGAAATGAAGATAACAGTTCAGTATAAGCTCAGGTCTCCTAGTTAAGTATTGCATTAATCTTGTGGCAAAGCAGGTATCACTTGGTTTTGGAACTAAGACGTAGTGCTTGGCTCTCAGTGATCTTTAATTTATAGGTCAGTTGTTTGTAGATTTTCTTTAGTTTGTGTGGATTTCTAAAGTATGTTTTTCTTCCTAATGTGAAATTTAGTAAACTTCTATTCCAAAACTATGATCTTAAGTATTTTAATGACTTTTCTAGGATGGCAATGGCTATATTAGTGCAGCAGAGCTTCGCCATGTGATGACAAACCTTGGAGAGAAGTTAACAGATGAAGAGGTTGATGAAATGATCAGGGAAGCAGATATTGATGGTGATGGTCAAGTAAACTATGAAGGTAAGACTTTCACTGTCACCATCTCATTCTCTGCTTTGACTTTACATTTAGAGGTACTAGGTAATCTGATAGGTCAAAATTACTAACTTCCTTACCCCATGAAGTTGTTAAAACTATATTTTCTAACCTTTTTCTAACCTTTTGCTATTTAGAACATGAGTACAGACTAGGTAACACCTCCTGTTGCCCAAGAACATTTTAGAGCTATTTATTAGGTCCTACTCCTATACCAGGGACCTGCAATTTAACAGGATTCCTGGTGGTTGATTTTATATGCACATTAAAGTTTGAGAACACTGTACTCTAAACTGTGCTAAAACAATTTTTGTATAATGTTTGTGGAACAATTTGAAATGCTTCCAACTTTTAATTTCAGGATCCTCAAAGTGAAATTAAGGTGACTTTCTTTTCTTCATTGGATTCTCTTCCTCTATTTAACAGATTTAGTCTGAAACTGTTTACATATGCTTCAGGTTAAGAAGTATCATTTGTAATACCAAACTAAGCAAGAATACTTTTTATTTATAATAGCTATCTAAAGCATTAATTGGGTTTATTTGTTAATAATTTTGGTTTGTGAAGTTCCAGCTTTGGCAGTTAGTTAGCTTTCCTCATATAGTTAACTTTTCTTATAATTTTGAGGAAAGAAAGAGGAATAGAGATTGCTCAGTAATTGAGTAAATGTGATTGATTTTGTCGATCTTTTGCCATTAACTGGCTCAACTTTTTGTGTATTTCTTCTTTTTCAGAGTTTGTACAAATGATGACAGCAAAGTGAAGATATTGTACAGAACGTGTTAAATTTCTTGTACAAAATTGTTTATTTGCCTTTTCTTTGTTTGTAACTTATCTGTAAAAGGTTCCCCCTACTGTCAAAAAAAATATGCATGTATAGTAATTAGGACTTCATTCCTCCATGTTTTCTTCCCTTATCTTACTGTTATTGTCCTGAAACCTTATTTTAGAAAATTGATCAAGTAACATGTTGCATGTGGCTTACTCTGGATATATCTAAGCCCTTCTGCACATCTAAACTTAGATGGAGTTGGTCAAATGAGGGAACATCTGGTTATGCCTTTTTTTAAGTAGTTTTCTTTAACCCAACTGTTGCTCTGAATCTGAGTCATTTCATTCATTAACTTTGGGTTGAATAATTTTGAGAATCAAATGATGTTTGTATTAGGAACACAATCTAAATCTGGGAGGGGTGTGTCATTATGTTTTAACCTCTATTTCCTAATGTTTTACTCATTGTGCTTTTTAAAATACATATATATTTTACCAAGTTCAGGGAGGAAAGGAAAGGGAGAATGAGAGAGAAACATTAATGATGAGAGAATAATTGATTAGCTGCCTTCTGCACGTGCCCCACCAGGGATTGAGCCCACAACCTGGGCATGTACCCTGACCTGGAATTGAACTCTGACGTCTTGGTTCATAGGTCCACACTCAACCACTAAGCCAGGCCAGCCGGGCCTAGGGCTATAATTTTAAACCTTATCTTCAAATCTTTACCATATTACCTGTTCTTTATTAGCAGGGTTATGGTAATCGATAATTATTTTCTTAGTACTATCTGTAGCATGTTTGCTCTCAGATAATTATAACAACATCATCAGTATTGTAGTTAAAATTGATCCTGGAATGTAATTTTAATTAAAGATCTGATGCATAGCAAAAGCTTGCCAAGCTCTACTTAATCTTGTATCATCAAAGAAAAATGCTTGTTATGATCACTTTTAAATTTTTCCCAGTAGTATTATATAATACAATGTTATGAGAACATTTTCTTTATCCTATATGCTTAATCTGTTTGATTGGTGAAGTCCTTGAAATCATTGACCCATTATACTGTTTCTATTTTTGGTATACTCAAACTATTTTCTCTTCTAGATGTTCCCTTGTGTGGGTTTCTGGACTTCTCTGTACCTTTCATCATATTTTAGTCTCTAGGGTACCAGTCCCTAGTCTGCTAGCAATTTTCTTGAAGAAAATGAAATGAATCAGTGATGGACTTGATTAATCTTACATTTGTGAAAATTGGTTTTTGCTTGCCTCTTGGCCTTATAATTCTTGATTTCAAACCTGGTGCCTGGTTGTTATTTTTTCCCCTTCTATATTTTTAAGGTTATATTAAATGAATTTAGAATCCCATTATTTTAAGAAAAATGGAGTTCTCTAGTCTCTTGCTACTCAAATTGCCCATAAAATCACCTGAAAGCTTCTTAGAAATGCAGAATCTTTGGCCTTGCCCAGAATCTGAATTAATGTGTATTTTAACAAAATGCCCTGGTGTTTGTGTACATTAATTTTTTAAAAGCACTGCTGTAGTTTATCCTATTTATAGAGAGGAAAACTGGTTATTCAGTAATTTCATCCTATATTCAAAGGCTCAGAAGGTAAAACCTGTGTTTTGGATATGTTTAAAATTGGGAACAATTTATCACAATGAGTCCTCCAATAAAGATAGGCACAGGGTCTCTTTGGGCTACAAGGGATTAAGCCAAGGGACTTCTCAGAGAAGTTGACCTTTGAGAAGCTGTACCAGGCTGTCAAAGGAAGGCTAGCATATGGGAGACCTTAGAAGTGTGAAAATGGCATTTTGGCGTTTACAAGTACAGCTGACCCTGGAACAACATGGGTTTGAACAGGGTGGGTCCACTTAACACTTTCTTCCCCCAAAAATGTATAGACTTCCATATCCCTGTGTTTCACATCCACTGATGCAGAGAGCCAGTTGTATGTATTGTTAAGCCATTTTACATATAAGGGCCATAAACATCTGAGGGTTTTGGTATCCATGGGGGTTCCTGGAACCAGTCCCCTATGGATACCAAGGAACTGTAGTTAAGGTTTTGGGGAGTCAAAAATTATGCATGGATTTTCGGTGGCTTGGGGTTGGCACCCCTAATCCTGTGTTCAAAGGTCAACTCCATACAGGTCAACTCCATACATCAAAGCATGAGCTTCTGATGAGGGAAAGGAGACGATTGTAAATTTTGTTTTTGTCCTAAAGGCCATATTTACTGAAAACATTGTGCCAGACATGGTTCCAAACATTTCACTCAAGTTAATCATAATCACCTTGTGGGGAAGTACCAGTTTATCACCTTTATAGACAAAGAAGCACAAATCACAGCAAATGCAGCCAATGCTCACCCTAACCCTCAAGTTCTGGTAGAGAGGAAGGAGAGGGATTCAAGAGTGAGGGAGTGCAGCAATGACAAATGGAGGTCAAGTTAAGAGCTGAAAAATGCCCATTGTGTTTGGCCATTGGGTCATTGGTTAGTTTAGCAAGTGCAATTTTGATGGCAAGGTGTGTGTGCATGTCAGATTAAGATGATTTTAGGAAAGTATGGGAGGTGAAAGAATTGAGTCTAGAAAGTTTGTAAAAGGGAGCAGAAACTTCATGGTTTGGACAGTGGGGCACTAGAGTCAGACCTGGACTTGAACTCTGCCACTGCTGTATGATGCTGAGGACACTGTCCAACAAAGCCTCTCCTCATTCTTAAAATGGGATTAATGCCTATTTCACTGGGTTATTGTGCGGATTAATTAAATTTATGTTTGTGAAGTATATGGAACACAGGTACTCCACAAAATGGAATTATTAAGGTTGAGGGGAGGGTTTGTTTTTAAGGATGAGAATGTTTATAGGTTGAGATGCTACATCAAAAGAGGTTGAAAGTGAAAGGGTCAATACTGGTAGGAAAGGGCGGTCTGGTTTCTTAGTGAATCCTGTTGGGTCTAGTGCTTACACCACTTCCAAAGTTAGGCTTGAGAAGTGACACCTATAGAATTTCCATCGGGAGGAGCTTAGAAACGATCTCAGAAAGTGGGTGCTGATGCTAATTTTTGCTTTAAAGCTAGGTATGCCTATCAAGCATTCTGTCCCTTTTTCTGAAGGAATGGGAGTGGGGGTGATTAGCAAAAGGGCTGATGGCGATTATGGTATGTTCAAGCCTTTACAAACCGCCTTTATTTTATTTTTTAAAATACATATTTTTTTTATTTTTTACAGAGAGGAAGGGAGAGGGATAGAGAGTTAGAAGCATCCATCAGCTGCCTCCTGCACACTCCCTACTGGGGATGTGCCCGCAACCAAGGTACATGCCCTTGAGCGGAATCAAACCTGGGACCCTTGAGTCCGCAGGCCGACGCTCTATCCACTGAGCCAAACCAGTTAGGGCTACAAACCGCCTTCAGAAGTCTCAGCGCAGCCCAGGCCGGGTGCACAGTTGGTTAGAGCATCATTCCCAAACCCTACAGGGGTGTGTGTCTGTCTCTTGTCTCTGTTTCTGTCTCTCTGTCTCTCTCTCTTTAAAATAAATAAAATTTAAAAATATTGGTGCAGATAACTGAAGGCTTTCAGGCGATTCCGCACGTGTTCGTGCCCAAGGCTAAGCGCAGGACTTCAAAACGTGTGCCTGCCTCCCCTCCCCAACTGGAGGAAGATTGGCGGGGCCCATGCACATGCGCGAAAGCAGCCCCCCTCCCCCTCCCCTTGTCTCCTGGCAACAGGACTCCAGTCTTGGCCTTGACACTGCGGAGGTCGCAATGGACCAGCCAGATAAGGCGGTCACTTCTACCCCAGTAAGGGAAGACTTGGGGCACGGCGGTTCAGTGGTCCTGGCCTCGGTACTGCCGTTCCCCTCTGACGCGCCCAACTACGGGGTCCTATTTGCCCCTCTCTTCCGCCAAAATGCCACCTCTAGTCCCAGGCCTTTGCACCCTTCCTGTTCTCTCTCCTCTCTTCTTGCCACCTTGTAGTCCTTTCTTCTGACCTTTGAGTTCTACTTCATTTTATTTCTTCTGCCCTTGCTACTCCTTCATCCTCCCGATTGCCCCTTTGTTATCTGTATCTTCCCTCTTCTTCCCTACTACTAATGCTGGGGACCACTGCTTTAATAGAGTGATTAGATTTCTTTCATTTTCCTCTAACGAGAGAATGTTTCTGTTGTTGTTTTCAGTCTATGAACACGTTTTTGAGTTTAGTATTTATAAAATATTTTAAACTACCTTTGTTTAGTTTTTAAATTTGGGCTAAGGATGTTTAGCCTATCTTTTGTAAAGTGATTCACCCTAAAGCGAATTTGAAGTGGTAGATGGGTGGAGTTTAGATCACCTGTGTTGAGCAAAACAAAGCAGCAGCTGCCAGTCACCTTATTTTGGATATATATCATGTTTACTTTTCTCTTGTCCTTCCCAACTCATTTTCCTGGCCCAGGTAGAGGTAGGAGACCTGTCTTGACATGCCTGGGAAAGTTCGATTTCTGTGACTATAAATGTGCAACAGAGAACTTTCAATATAAATCTAACAAAGGC